TGTTATAAGTTTTTTTTTAAAGATTATTTATTTATGTGAGAGAGAGAGAGAGAGAACACGAGGTGGGGAGGGTTGAAGGGAGAAGCAGACTTCCCGCTGAGCAAGGAGCCCAATGCGGGGCTCAATCCCAGGACTCCAGGATCATGGCCTGAGCTGAAGGCAGTCGCTTAATCAACTGAGCCACACAGGCACCCCTATAATTATTTTTTGAGCAAATGAATACATGAATGGGCATGGTGAGGAGACAGGAGGGATGTGAGTGGGGAGGGCAGGTGGGGATGTAAGGTAGAAGGTGAGGAGAGGAGATGGGCAGTGTGGGGACAGGATGGTAATGAGGATGGGTGGTGTGCAGAGGTGAGGTTAGGGATGGAGGGGAAAAGCAGGGAGGAGAAGACCAGGCAGAGGCATCTCTGTGCTGGGCCTGAGTGAGGCTTCCAGACCCTGAGTGGCTTCCCAGGAGCTCTTGTCCCTTGGCCCTGCTGCTTGAGAGGTTTGGAGGCCCAGCCCGTAGGCGGGGTTAGACTTTATCTTGGGGCGCAGCCCTAACCTCAGATGGTGACAGAGCGGGAGCCAGCCGGGGTTTTGCAAACCGTCCCGATTGCAGCAGGCCGGCGGGCTCGCTCTGGAGGGCGGGTGGGGCCTGGGCTTATCTCCCAAGTGCAGCCCTAACCTCAGATGGTGACAAAGCGGGAGCGAGCAGGCGTTTTGCAAACCGTCCCGATTGCAGCAGGGTGGGATGACCTGGCCAGGGCCAGCAGTGCTAGGTGTGGGGGGCAACATAGGCTTGGACAAGTTGGGGGCCTCGGAGCAAGTCTGGCTTGTGGGAGCCATTCTGTATGTGGCTTGCCTCTACCTACCTCAGATCTCTGTTTCTAAAACCAAAGGGAAGGTCGCAGCTCTGTAGGTGGGGCTCTCCCTGTTAGGAAGCCTGCCAGTTCCCAAGTCCTAGGACCCCTCTGCTCTTCCGGAAGTCAGAGTTGGTGGCCAGTGGCAGCCATTTTCCTCTAAGAACACCGACCATGTCTCCAGCGGGGTAGCCTCCTGTGCCTTTGAAGGTTTTCCAGGACCAGGCCTGCTTATAGTTGCACTGACAGGGGCCAGTCAGAAGTCCTGTCCGAACTAGACCATTCCCACTTAGGAGTAGCACAGGCTGAAAGGGGAGGTGTGCTTGCTGGGGGCTGGCGAGGGTGACAGGAAGTGACTGGCCTGCCGGAGAGGAGGCACACAGGCCCTCAGCCAGCCCTGGCTATCGCTGCTTCAGCATCTCCTATACAGCCCCCTGTATCCTATAGCCCCCTCCCTCACTGGAGCAGGGTAGGGGTGGAGGCGAAGAGGCCCCTTTCCACCCCCACAACCCCAACCGGGATCTTGCAACACTGGGATGGGGGCCCTGGGGGCCCAGGCGTGTGGCAATCGTGGGGGGTGGGGTGGGAGGTGTGCACTGAGCAGGGGAGCGGCTTTCACAAGCAGCCACTGCAGGACTGACCTTAGCTGGCTCACCTTGGGCAGCTTCCTCTCTCTTCCCAGTATCACCAAACAGCCTTCCTTCTCCTCTGCCATTTCCCCCAGGCCTGAGATCCTGACTTTCAGCTCAGCATTCTCATCTGGGTTCCAGGCTCAGCTCATGAGGGAAAACTGGGCCTGATCCCACTGTAGAGTCTAAACCAATGGGAATGCACGTGTATGCTGTTTGGATCTTGATTTGCTGGTTTCTTAAAGTCAGTGTGTCCCGAGGATTAGTGCCTTGGGGCTCCTCCTTTCTGCCTCTTCTTTCCCTACAGCAACTTGGGAGAAAGGGCTTGGGTACTAGAATCTTGCTCTCTAGCCCATATGGGCTTCTTAGAGACTGAGCTCTCCTGCAGAGGGAATGGAAAGAAAGTTCTTGGCAATTTCATTCCAGATGGAGGAAGGCATTTTCTTGCTCTTCCCTTTCCTCCTCCTTTCCATTCAGGCAGCCTCCTTGGCTTCCTTTCTTTTTCTTGATCATCGGATGTCTTAGGCCTCCCCGCCAGTTTGGCACGTCTGCCTCCTCCCTGAAATTTTTTAGGTTTCAACTTCAATGTCACCTCCTCAGAGAAGCTGTCCTTGACCACCCCAGCAAAAATATCCTCCCTTCCTGCTTGTGTATTTGGTTTTCCCGAGTGGAGTAATTAATGAATTTACTGAAGGTGCTTTGTAGAGGTGTGAAGGAACCGGACTGAGGGAGAGCTGCAAGGAATGATGAAGACATTGGCTAGCTGCCGCAGGCTCCATTACTGCCCCCAAGGCCATAAGGGTGGCATCTGTGAGAGGGGACAATGGAAGGTGCCCGTCCCCGATAAGAGAGAGCTGGGGGAGAAGCACTCAACTTTATCCTCCGTGCAACATCCTGTCCCACCTGGAGCACAGCAGGATGACCAGGGGTTGAGGGGATCTAGAAGGGCAAAGGAAGACACCTAGTGTGCACTATCGTGGTGCTTTTTTCTTCCCGCCCATTCGGCTAAGACCTGGGTCTGTCTTGGTCACCACAGTGTTCTTGACACCCGACGAGGACCCACAAGAGGAAAGATGTTTAACAAATACTTGTTGAATAAGTCTACTCTGGCCCACACCAGTCGAGGTCAGGTGAAAAGCCTGATTCAGAAAATGTGTCTTCAGGCTACCTGTCACCTCCCTGGGACGTGATCTGCCAGAGATCTGGGGCCATGTTCGCCACCTGTGCTCATGCACGGACCAGGTGTGCTCTTTTCTGAAGCCGGGGCCATGACTCTTCTGCAGTCCTGGTGCCAGGCCCCTGCCTCAAGGAGCCACAGGGTGGTGGGGGGCTGGGAGGAGACCCAGTTCTGAATGGTGGGAAAGCAGCTCCGGGCTGATGCTGAAGCAACCGAAGGTTCCATCACCCAGAACCTTGAAAATAAGTCAAGGGGCAGTGGTCTTGAGCTGAGAGGAGGAAATCCGGAGGTTGAGTCACTTACCCTGTTCTGTACAAACCCCCCTTATGCAACCCCATCCCCCTGGGCTAGAAGCGAGGTGTAGGATTCTCCTGGGCATCCATGGAGACGGGCATCTCCCCCTTATGAACTCAGGACGCCCACTGGTGAGGGAATAAACCATCCAGCGAGGTTCGAATTTATCTACCCAGACCAGATCTGGGACAGTAGGCTCCAGGGACAGGTGGAGGAGAGAGTGCCTGACGGACACAGAGGCAAAGGCAGGAGAGGGGCTGAGTCCTAAGTGAGGCAGGCATGGTGCACACAGGTGCCCAACACATAGGAAGTCTCTGCCGCTAGGGGTGTGGAAATAAGGGGAAGGGTGGGAGAGAGAAAAGAGACTGAGAGGATCCTGCCTTTCCCCTCTCAGAAAGTTATTCCTTGACCTCCAACTCGGGCTTTCTCAGCAGGGGCCTACATAACATTGGTGGTCTGGGAGATACTCTGGCCCGCACTGCGTCTTGTGTCTTGACAGTCCTTGGTTACTTGCTGAATGGAACTGGCAGGCCCGCCCCGTGCGGTGTGCCTCTGTGGAGAGGGCATGAGCATGGCCTAGAGAAGGTGCCCTGTGCTGACACAGCAAAGGGACAGAGAGAGTGTCAGGAGAATGTCTCTTATCCCCTCTGGCCCTCAGCCGCTTTATCTGTAAGATGTGGCTCTCACTATCTTGCTCGTCTGAGGCCAAAGCCCACCAGACGATCTCTTGAGGTCTCCTCCAGCACCTCCGGAGATCCGTGATTTTTTTTGGAGCTATTTTTGGCGCTGCCTCTAAGCAATTGTGTGACTCTGGCTAAGCACCCCACTACCACCCACTCCCCACTCAAGGCCTCAGTTTCCTCACCTGCAAAGTGAGAAGTTTAGATAAGATCCTAAGGTCCTTTCAGTTCTAGCAAAATGGAATAATAATGACTGGTCATCTTACCATGTGCCAGGCCATGTTTGTCTATGAATACAACAACACTGTGAGGTGGGTACTAATGCTGCCTCCTTCTATGGTGCAGATGGGGAAACTGAGGCACACAGGTAACTGGTTTGCATTGCACAGCTAGCAAAAACAGGAGGGAGATTCAGATGGATGCCCCTGGGCTAGAGCTCCATGAAAGAGGATATGCTTCACATGAGGGGGTTTCACTGGCACAGGTGGATTATTTTCCTCATTATCAACTTTCTCCTGTTCACACAGGTCTCGAGGCCTTTCCCAATGGAGTCTCCCCGCAGGCACTCAGATTCTAGTGCTATGGGGAACCCGAGTCCCAGGGAGTGAGGGACAATGAGGGAGTGGGTGGGAGCCACGGGGGGGTGGCGGATGTCAGGCTGGTGGGCTCAAGTTGTGGAACCAGAGAGAAGTGGTAGAGTCCTGGCTGCAGCGCTAAGGAGCCCTAAATATGGCAGAGCCATCTGGAAGCTGACAGGAGCTCCCAGACCTATATTTCAAGGCGCTGGGGTCAGCAGGCCTAGGCATAAGGGACTGGGTGGCACTGGGATCTCCCCCACATGCCACAGAACTCGGTTAGGGAAGTATCCAGAGGCTGCCGCAGGCCGGGTGGGGTTGTCGGGTGGGGTGCCTTCATCATCTGGAAGGACAGAGTGGGCTGGGGTGGGGGCGGGGGAAGAGAGGAGCAGAGTGGCAGACACACAGCCTGGCCGTGTGGTGTGCTGGGGGCAAGCTGTGGGTAGTGTATCTCTATTCTTGGATATTCATCTGGGAATAGAACCAAGAGATATGCAGACCCAGCAACAGGCCCTCCCTGCCCTTGGAGCCCCCATGTCCCACGTGTACACACCCCCTCCCCCCAATTCCCAGGCCCGGGGCGTAGGCCCATTACTGAGTCATAGTGCAATTTTATTCCGCCACAGAATCATTATGCTGGGGTCTGCCCTCCTCCCTTGCCACCCGCTGCCAGTTGTCCACGGTCTCTGTCTCAGGCTTGGCCTGTGAGGGGCTCTAGGGCCCCAGCAGGGTAGGGATCCCCAGGGTCAGGCTGGGCCGGGGCAGGGGGAGGGGCTGGTGCCATAGTCTGTCAGCCTGGCTCAGCTGCAGCCCCCCACGCCCTTGATGAGGCTAGCGGCCTCAGGGATCTGGCGGAAGAGGTTTCGAAGGGTGTCCAGCTCCTGGGTCAGCTGCTCCACGCGACTGCGGAGGCGCTCATTCTCCGCCATGTACTCCAGCACCTTCTGCTGCGTCTCCAGGATGCGCCTCTTGGCCTTGTCGCGGCTTTTGCGCACTGCGATGTTGTTCCGCTCCCTCCGCAGCCGGTACTCCAGGCTGTCCTTATTCACCGCCTTCTTGCCTTTGTGCGAGGGGCCAGCTGGGGATGGCGCCTTGAGGAGGGGGCTGCAGGGGGGTGCGGCGGCGGCCACAGGGGCCTGGAGGGGAAGGCACAGACCGACCAGAGGTGAGGGCTGGCCAGGACGCAGAGTGGCGGCCGGGCGGGAATCGCAGCAGTCGGAGAACGCCCAGGCATCAAACAGGTCCGGGGTCCAGAGCCAGCTCTGGTCTCCCGATCAGAACAGCCATCGCCCTGCCACGTGCAGAGGGACCCCTGCTCTGACCCAGACTCTCTTTCCCATTCCCACACTGTCTGAGGACACTTTCCTTCAATTTCTTTTGAGGCTCTAGTCTTAACAATTGGTAGGCATTTCCCCTTCCAGAAGCAGGCGGCAGAGAAACAAGAGGAAGGGAGTGATGGGTCTCGAGGTCCGGGCAAGTCAGCTGGCCGCAGGGACTGTAGGACGCCCGGGATCCCAGCCACATGGTGGGGTTCAGGGTGAGAAGGAAGTGACAGAGAAGCAAAGCAGGGTCGTGGTGGTGCGGTGAGCACAGAGGGTTTGGGGGTGGGTGGGTCTCCCAGAGCAAAACCAAACACTGACCCCTAAGCGCAAACAGAGCACAGAGTGCCCCACCTGGCATTGGTCTCCCTCCAGCCCCTGGGTGGCAGGAACGAGATTTGACCTGCACTTACCTTGAGGACGCGCAGGGGCTGGCTGGGTGCTGCCAGGGCCGGGGGCAGGTGCATGGCCGTCTGCCCACAGTGTGCTACTTGATACTGTAGAGGATTATAGCTGCCGCGGCTGGCCCCTCGGCTGCCCTCTGGCCCCCGAGGCTCCTCCTTCACAGCCACAGCCCTGGGGTCATAGCTCCCTGGGCTGCTGTAGATGCCAGACCCCAAGGCCTTCCTGTCAGGGCCGAAGGTATGTGGGGGGTAGGCGAAGGGCCGTGGGTCCGGCGGCAGGTAGTGGGGAAAGGCAGGGGTTCCGGGTCCTTTAAGGCCTCGGGCCTCAGGTGCGGGCTTCACCGCGAAGAGGTCGGAGAGGAGCTGCTCCTCCCCAGACTCGATGTAGGCGGAGAGGTCGATGGAAGCCTCATGCTCACACATGTCCCCCAGCTCCCCGGGCCCCGCTCGGGCCCCTGAGAACTCAAGAGGCTGCTGGCCAGCCCGGGGCTCACACTCGTAGTAGGTCCCGTGGGACATGGCCGGCCCGCCCCCTCGGCTCCCCGCCCCTGCTGCCCTACTCTTGGGGCACCCTCTGGGATGCTCTGCCTGCCCTCTCCCTATCTCCCCCTGCCCTAGATCTGCCCTAGATCTGCCCTCTCCGTTCTCCTCTGTCACCCACTCCTGAGTGGCCTCTCTCCTCCCACCTCTGCTGTTTCCTTTTCCTTCCTCTGTAGTCAATGCCTCTTTTCTCTTCCCTTTTTTCCCCCCTCTCTCCCTGGGGTGACTTAGGGAGGGGCAGGGCGCACCCCAGAGGGAGGGATTCAGGGCTTAAAGAAATGGGGCCCCTGGCCTATTTAGCAGTTGGGAGCACTCCTTAGTCAGGGTCCAAGCCAGGGCTCTGAGATGCCTGGCTGATGCTTCTGGGAATGCCTCCCCCTTTCCTCTTGAGTCCAGGGGATTCCAGAGTCCTCGCTGAAGGCAACACCTCACTCTGAGTGTCCTCCTCCCTCCGACTTCCAAAAAGTTCTGTGCAGAACGAGGTGCCAAGTCAGAATGAACAGAGAAAACCCTCTTCCAGTGCCGACCCCCGACCTGATCTGAGCTCCTCCCTTGACACGCCTCCCTCTCTGTCCCCCAGCAAGGCTGGGCTCCACCTCCCCCCAGGGGCAGTCCTTTCCTTTTGTAGCCCCACCCCCAGGGCATTCTTTTGGGGGCAGGCCAGGGGCGTTGTTTGAGGGGGTTATAGTGGTAAGTTCTGCGACCAAGCTCTACACGGGGTCCTGTGGTGCAGAGCACGCTCATTTGCTAGGTTTTTGTGCAATAGCCCAAACCCTCTGATGCTTCTAGCCCAGGGTGGCCCTAGCAGCCTGGCACTGTCGCTCATTGCCAAGGCTGGGCTGAGGTACCTGCTCCGGACTTGGGCCCTGTGCCCCAGGCCCAGGCAGGCCCCTGCCCCAGGAGCCAACAGCCGCACTCTTCTGGTGGGTGGCTCCAGTGCTCCCCCTTCCAGCTGCCCTGCACTGCGGGAGCCTCAGGTTGGTGCTCTGCCCCCTGCTCTGGTCCTGGGGCTCAGCCCTGTTTCCTGTGCCTGGGACCGCAGGGCTCAGGCACTCCCTGCAGCTCGGCTTGCTGTCTTTCCTCCTGCGTGGCCGTTCTCTGACCTCGATGCGTGTCTCTTGGGTCCACTTCCTCTTGTGAGGCTTGAGAAGCCTTCTCTTTTGTCATCATCTCTTCCTGGGACTGCTTCAGGGGCTCCAGGAGAAGCCCATGCTCGGCACTTTGGGTCTCATGCTGGGCCCCCTCTCCCTTCCCTTTTCTTTTTCCTCTGGGAACTCCCCACTCTCTCCTGTTAGAGGCATTGCTGTGGTTCTGTTTTTACCTTGAATTTCACCTACAAAAGGGACTAGAGGTCCAGAAGAGGGAAAGGATGCAGAAATGCGTCACTGGCTCTTTGATCATTGGCAAATGCTGGGAGCACCCCATGGAGGCCAGAAGGTTTAACAAGTAGGGTACACCAAGGGCCAGGCCACAGTGGGGACAGACGCAGATGGGATATGGGTGGCACTGAATGGTAAAATAGAGTAAGCAGGTGCAGACAGGCCTGCCTCTGCGTCAGGAGAGTTACCCTTCCAGGCAGCATCTTCCTCCCTCCCTTGCTCCCCACCACCCCATCAACCCCAGGAGCTTTTCTGGGCACAGTTTAGGGTCCTTTCTCTGAGAGCCCTGACCTGGCATTGGGAGATCTATGTGCATCCTGGAGACAGAGCTCAGGGACCGGAAGGATAGGTTGGGTACCTAACGGAAGGGTAGGTTGTCTCATCTCCCTTTCAAAGGACCTTGGGTCAAACAGGTAACCAGAGCTGAACTACCTCAGTTTGGCAGGAATGCCTCTGTTGACCAGCAGGTGGCAATATTGGCCCAGAATGCGGAACTAGAGGGGCTGCTGTGGTCAGGCATCCGGTGGACGGCAGGGGGCAGGCTTCCGCAGCCCTTGCAAGGGCAGGATCCTGCCGGGCCTCTGGGAGGAGGGAGGGGAATCGTGGTGAGGTGGGGTCTTGCAGCGCAGTTACTGGGAGAGTGGGCAGGCTGAGAGGACTGGGGCGAGGGTCCTGTCTCAATGAGCAGAAATTCTAGGCCTCTCCGACTTTGAAGTAGTGATGACGGTTAAGGCCTGACGTTTTCTGGAGTTATGCTCTTTTTGGTAATTGAAACATTCACTTTTCCATACTGATCGGTTCCCTGTGAGTTAAGTAGGAAGGAAAGCAAGACCTATGCCATTTTAAATATGCCTTATCAAGGAGGGAAATTAGGCTGAAAGGCCCAACCGCCCAAGGTCAGACAAGGATGCAACTTTGCTCTTGGGGGGGAAAGGCAGTGGACTAGTTCTTGAAACCCCTAGGCAATTAGGGATAGAGAAAGGGGGAGCTGTGTGACTCAGAGAGCCCTGTTTGCCCTTAGTCTGCCGCGTGGGTGGGAGGGTGGTGGGGGGGTAAGTGCGTCAGTAGCCAGTGAACGGGGCCCTGGAGGAAGCAGGGAAGTGTGCAAATAGAGCTGGCAGGAAATGAGAAAGGCTGGGGCCAGGGGGAGATAAGTGATCTCCCTCCAGTCCCTCACCTTCTAGGCTGGTGGCTGACGTTGCTGGAGTACTGACATTACGTTTCCCAGTAACCGAGGAGTTTGGGGAGGGCAGGAAGCATTCTGGATATCTGGGCAGGGGAGGAGGGGGGTGTGGACAGGAGCAGGGATGGGGAGGGCAGTCCCAGACAAGAGCTGGGGGAGTCTTGGGTTCTGTGGAGTTGCTCAGGTGTGGAATGAAGCCCTCCCTGGTCAGCAGGCTCTCTTTCTCCTTTCTGCTTCAGTTGCTACCTGTTTGCCTTAATGGAAACAGTGCAGGTATATTTTCTTAGTGACCTTGTAACAGGCCTCAGTTCAAAGATCACCTCCTTCACCAAGTCCTTACAACAGGGAGCCAGCCAAGCATGGCAGCGGTGGAGTGTCAGAGAGACCCGGGCTTAAATCCTGCCTCTGTCACATCCCAGTCTGGTGACCTTGGGCAAGTTATTTAACCTTACTTGTAAAATGGCAGTAGTAACTTCTACTTTGTCAGATTGTTTAATGAAACTTTGTATGGAGAGCAATGTTGAGTCTTCCGCCCTTCCTCCCACCACCACCCGCAGTTTATCTGAGTGTCCTAAGCAGGCATTATCTACAGCCCCATCTGATGCCTCAGTTTAACAGGCATTTTGGGGCACGGAAGTAGCAGACACAGTGCAGGCTCTGGGGATCTGGCAGATTCAGCTCCTGTCTGCCATGGCTGGAGGTCCCCCCTCCCCAAGGGGGCAGGGTGGGCAGTCAGCAGTGCCTATGAGCCAGGAGCGTTCTCGCCCTCTTTCCCTGTAGATGATTTGCTCCTCGAGGGTAGGGTCAGATCCATTTTTTGAAGCTTTTCAGCTGTGGTGACCGTATTGCCTGAATAAAAATTAACGAAAGGTGGATTGTCAAGTATGAATATTTTTATGGAGACAATGGAACAAAGCATTTGAAATCTGTGCTGACCCAGAAACTTCGGGAATAAGTTTGCTATTCTCACAGCACCTAACAAACTCCTTGGACACAATGGTTATAAGGTGTGTTGTGTGACTAATTAACAAATGAATGCTTATGCAGCTATGATTTCGGTGACACCCCCCCCCCAAATTCCCTAAGGTCAGAGCATCTGAATTCCTACCATTAAAGGACTGACAGGGTTAAGACTGGGTAAAGGCCCAGGCTAAACATAAATAACTTGTGCTCTGGAGGACACCCACATTTACCATGGCCCAGGTTAAAAAGATCAGCATGTGTCACTTATGTGGGGAGGGGGGCTGCTGGTGATGGATAGAAGTGAGTGTCTCCACAGAGCGAGAGGGGCTTTGGGGAGGGCCGGACTTGCTGGAACAGGGCAACATGGAGAATACAGTGGCAGCCCATGAAAAGGAAAAGTGTGTGTGTTGGGGAAGAAGGGGTTCAAAAGTGTGGATTTGAGACCTCGGGGACAGCCTCTTGCATAAGACTGGCCTCTGCCCAGTTTTGCCGTCAGTATCTGGGGACAACCTTGGGCTGAAGATTGAGGAAAGCTTTGAGATTCGGTTCAACCTTTTTTTTTTTTTTTTCTTTTCTCAGAAAGTACTAAGTAGGTTAAGTGACTTGCCCAAGGACACAGAGCTGTTTGGTGGCTGCTGAGCTGGAACTCAGAGCCAAGCGTCTGTGCCCTGTGACTGGCACGCCTCCAGCCTCAGTCTAGAAAAATGCCAGCCACAGATGAGGAGTGTTGGGGCTGGGTGGGGACTGGGAGTGAGGCATTTTGCCTGCCTGTGTCCTCACGTGTCCCACATGGTGGAGGATGATGTCTTAACACCCCCCTCCCCTGCTCATGTCTGTCAGACGTGCTGGCTCTGGAGTAATGCTGCCCCAGAACAGGCAGTTGGGACGGCTGCCCACGAAGGAGGCACTCCAAGCAAGCACTGGGTCTAATCCCATCAACTTCCTCCAGCAATTAACCCAAATCACCAGTGGACGTGTCCCTACCGTACCCGGTTCCTCCTTTGTCCCCACTCAACAGCCTTCCTAGACCGCAGACTAGACACGGCCCTCTCATTCAGCTCCGTGCAGCTGAGGGGACCCTGCCTCACGTCCCAGTCCCTTCTGTCAAACCCCTTGGATCTGGCTGGCTGCTTTCCTAAGTGCCCCTGGCTTCTCTCCATAGGCTCAGTCCATCCCTTCCTTTCCCATTCAGTGCCAGCTGTCCCAGTGCCAGAAGGCTTGGCTGACCAGACCTTGGAGAACCACTCTGCCATTGCCTCCCTCCACTCAGCTAAGTCCTGTCTGCCAGCTACCTTCCCACCTGGGCAGTGGTGATGGTCTTCCTAGCTAGTTTGCAGGAACTTAATGAACACCTTGGGACTTCACTGAAGAAATGAAGTTTTTGGTTCAAAATGAAAGGTAGTTAAAAACCAACCCCTCCCCGCCAAAAAATGCAAGAGAGTTTTTGAGTGTGCTGGTACTGGGTCCCTGGGACAGAGCAAGGGCCTCTGGGAATGCCATCCAGGAAGGAACTTAGCAACAAAAGTCCTGACGAAGATAGGAAATGCCCGGGGACTCCGTCTCAGAAGGTCACTGAATTACTACCACCAACAACTTCGTTTCCATTTAAAATTTTATTACATCAAAAGAAAAAAAAAAAAAAAACCCTCCACAAAACAAACTCTAACCCTAGACCAACTCAAAGACAGAAGATTATCCAGGTATAACTAATGCCCTCCCCACCCAAACAACCTTACATTAAAAAATTTAAAAGAAATAGAAATGCCAGCTTCAAAAATATTTATCCAAAAAAGTAAGGCATTCACTTTACGAAACAAACGAACAAACAAATAAACCCTAACAATTGAAGGAGGGATGGAGGTTGGTGGAATGAGAAGAGGGAACAGGAGGGTGGTCCCCTGACCTTCCAGGAGCCAGGCCCAGCACACCTGGGGTCCACTCTGAAGGGACCGGAACTCAAACCAAACCTGACATCTCACCAGTTGGGGTTGGGGGGAGGCAGTCAGGCAGGCCAGGTAGGAAGCTGGGAAAGCCAAGCAAGCCAGGAGGACTCCCAGCATATTCTAGTCGAAGCAGGTGGTAGGGGGAGGTAGGAAAGGGGGCCCTCCTGCTTTGGGATGAAAGGATCCTAGTCCTTAGCACATCAAGTGTGGTAGGGAGGCTGCAAGGCCCAGGGTAAACATGGTGGTGTTCCCTTGGAGCGCAGGGAAAGGCAGCCTCTGCCCACAGGACGGCCAGAAGTGCACAAACCAGAATGTGTCTCCAAAATGGGTACTTTCTGCCACTGCCCTTTCATTCTGTTTGGGAGGCTGTCCTAAGACAGGGCAGTGGTGGGACCAGAAGGGGAGGTGTCGGAGTTGGGGGAGGAGGAAGGAACTGGCCTTCAGAAGACACTCTCTCCCCACACAGTCTCTGAGGTTATGGGATGGGCACACTTCTGGGGGGTGGGTGGGAAAGCACCCTCCATTCCAGAAAGGCTTTTCATACCAGGTCTGTCCTGAGGATTAGAAATCAGGGAGTATTTTTAGGTCCAGTTCTTGGATAGGAGGTGATTTAAGGCTGATTTGGCTTGGGTTTCCGGCCTGAAGGTCTTGGGGAGCCTTCATACCAGTTGGTCCCGGAGCCAAGCCAGAGAAGAGGGAAAGGGCACAATGGGGGCTGCCAGCAGTGCTGGTTCCATGGAGGTATGTGGGGGGCGTAGCTGCAGGGATCATGGAGTGACTGTTCCTTCTCACTGGAGTGGGGAGGGAGGAGCTAAGCAGCTTTGCCATTAGGAGAGAAATGTCCTCTACATCGAAAATAAGAAGACTTTCTGGCTTCAGGAAGCTTTGGCACCGAGTGGGGGTCAGGATGAAGGAGACGGGGCAGGGCTGGGTTTCTGCAATTTGAGGCTTTCCCAATCTGTTCCACAGGCCTGGCTTGAGTTAGGGGGAGGGGGCGGTTCTCCTGCTTATTGGTCCTTAGCTCAGTAGGGAGGTGATGTCTTGCCAGGAACCTTGTTCTGGACAGGGAGCCCAAGATGGGGTGGGGGGAGGTACCATGGGGAGGGGGAGAGGAGAGGGCAGAGGGAAGCATCTCTCATTTCTTGGGTCCCTAGTAAAGGGAGGGTGATACCAGTCTCTCCAGCTGACCTTTAAAGATGACAGATTTGCCTGAGTCTGTCCCTCCCCAACTGACTCACTGTTGCTTCCGGTTCTCTGAGCAGAGGCCTCCCTTGGGCTCAGGAATGGGGCGGGAAGGCAGTACTGACTGGGCTCCTGAGGAGGGAGGGCCCTGTGGGGTACCGCCAGAAGCTCCACTCTCCTCCCACTTCTTGGAGCAGCCCTGGTGAGGGTTTTGGACATAGGCCCTGGTGGCGAGAGGCTAGTTCTTTGACAAATGTCAGTGTATTTGTCTATAGTTTCGTGTGTGTGTGTGTGTGTGTTGGGGGGACCTAGGCAAGGAAGGAGAGCAAAAATGGGGTATAGGAGGAAGTAGCCAGCTGAGAGGCGGTGGTGGTTCTCAGGGTTGGGGCTGCTCCGAGTCCTTGTCCTTGGAGGCCATGGGTTGGTAGATGGGCTGCCGCTGCTCCTCTGTGTCCTCATTTATCTCCTCTTTCCCCGAGCCTGCTTCCATCTCGGGGTACACAACCACACACATCTTCTGGCTCACGAGGGTTAGTGACTCTATGGGAAGTTACACAGAATGGGTCAGTGCTGAGCATCCCACCCGCCCCGCCAAGCCGGCCATGACCCTGCTCCACTCCCCTGCCCCAGGTGTTGCCTCAGCAGAGCCCCGGTTCCTTCAGGAGACTTCCATTCCAGGAGACAGCCACCTTGCCTCTTCCTGGGGCTCTGGGCAGCCCATCTGCTGGCTGCCCATTCCCATCAAAGCCCTAGTCCCCCACCTTCCCTAAGCCTGGTGACTACCAGTTCCAGGATCTCCCTTGGCCTCTGCCCAGGGCAGCTCCTGCAGAATGGCTGTCAGGGTGCCTATTCTTCCAGCTCTAGGGTCTGTATGCAAACCTCAGCTGTTCTCCTCTCCTCAGAGGTCTCTGGGAAGGTACCCACACTTTCCTGCCCCGTCTTCTTCTCCGGAGCTCTGTGGACCAGCCTAGGCCTCCTGACCAGGAGACCTAACTCAGACAAGGAGATCCTCTAGCCACCCAGCATTTTTAACAACTCACCAATGAAGTTATTGAAACACTTGGGCTTGTGTTGCCAGTAAACACCCAGGAAATAGACGGGCACTCCTGTCAGCATGATGGCCAGGCCAGTGCCACATACCACGGGCTCTGACCACAGGCTAAAGATCAGCAGGAAGGCCCAGAACAGCAGGTAGATGATGGGGAACAGCAGGTTGATCTGTGGAACAGACGTGCTGTTAGCTGTGTGGATCCCGTGGTCCCCAGGATCAGGGTGTTCTCCCTCTTCTCAATCCACAGAGAGGCACCTTTGAGGGCAAAGGCTAGGCTTCACTTGGCTCTATGGCTCCCACACCCCAAGCCCTGATAGATCAAGTATTATGTCAACAAATGTTGGTGAACTTGGGTAGTAGGATGGGAAGAGGAAGGGCAACTAGGAAGGGAATGATCCTCATGCCTTTCTCTTTTCTCCTGGGCAGAGGCTAAATAAGTCCTTGTCATCCATGCTTCAGCCAGGGAAGCCCATGGGGACTGATAGGCTCGCTGGTTTATTGGTATATATTTGCTGACATCCTAGAGTAGAAGAGAGGTGGAGAAATAAGTGAGGGGCAAGAAGGAAGTGGCCCAGGTCTGTCATACTCCTTGTTCCTTTCCCAGTTCTAGGTAGGGCCCTCATCTGGGCACCATGTGGCAAATGTCCATCCTTCTTGTCAGGATCAGTCTCAATGTGTTTCTCTCAAGCAATCTGAGAAGGTAAGTCTGCCAAGATCCAAGAAGTCAGGGAACCTACCATACTATCAGGCACTCTGTGACCTTGATTTTATTCAGAAAGAAGCATCAGCTCTATGGGCTTATTGGCCATCTTGTTGGCCACAGCTGGGAGTGCCCAGTAGAGTCTTCTTCAAGACTCCACATTTAGGGGGCGCCTGGGTGGCTGAGTGGGTTAAAGCCTCTGCCTTCAGCTCAGGTCATGATCCCAGGGTCCTGGGATTGAGCCCCACATCGGGCTCTCTGCTCAGCAGGGAGCCTGCTTCCCTTCCTCTCTCTCTCTGCCTGCCTCTCTGCCTACTTGTGATCTCTGTCAAATAAATAAATAAAATCTTTAAAAAACAAAAAAGACTCCATATTTAGCTGCTTTTCTCTTCCTTGTCATCTCAGAGGGTATGCAAGTGTTGGGAGGAGGGATGGGTTATTCTACCTTGTCATCCTTCTAGCAAGCTTTCTAAGAGTGACAGGAAAGTGGTGGTGGAAAACAGATTTGGAAAGCTGAAATCCCCAGCTGGAAGAATCTTCTTGAAGGATCTAGTCTCCTGTTTCCAGAATAGGATTGTTCAAATAGCTCAGGTCTATGCTCTATTCTAATTTGCAGGAGAACCCATAATGCTCTTGCCTATTTTGTTCTGAGCAAAGCTGTTCATTCACCACATTATCTCTTGCAGCAATCGGTAGGTTCACCAGGCACCCTACTACATATAAGGCTATAGTAGTTTAAAAAGGGAGGCTCATGGAGGGCTGTAGTGGACTGGAAAGCTTCAAGGAAGAGGAGGAACTTGAGGCCTATGTGGGGAATAGTTATAATTTGGATAGGCAGATGGGAGAAGGAAACTCACTCTGGGATGGAGACATAGTTCAAGTGAACTCAGGGATGGGATGGAGGGAGGAGGAGGAGATGGGCCATACCAGTGGATTCATGGAAATGCTAGAGAGGTAAGGGAGCCTTGAAAAATCAACCGGTGTTTATAAGAGTTGTAGGAAACAAAGGAATAACCTGATGAGAGTATCATTTAATCTAACTTACTCTTCCAGCTGTGATTTGTTCTGGTCCTGTCTCCAGTGGAAAATGGAAATGGCTGCCCCATTTATACATGGCCCTTGCTTTCCAAAGGGTCTGCTACCATCATAGAGAAGGTAGATCATATATGTGGTCAACAGCTGAGAACAAGGGGATTTAAAAATCTGAGCTGCAGCTAGATTTGTAGAGGAGGGGAAAGGGATCTCAAGGGGAGGTTCTCGCACCTTGATAGGGCGGGGGATGTCAGGCTTCTGCCAGCGAAGAACGATCTGTCCCGCAATTGTGACTCCATAGAAGAGGTAGTTGATGAAGCCCACGTAGTTGATGAGGGTGTACATGTCGCTGGTGACCAGCATCAGCAGGGTTGAGATGCACTGTGGGAAACGGGAGAAGCTCATCAGTGATCAGTAAGGTATCTGGACACTGAAGGAGCTGTTTATAGGTGGGAGATTGTTCCCCTGCCTCTAGGCAGACGATGCCATTTTACTATCAATGTCCTAAAATGGAGACTTTACAGCTTCTCCTCCCTAGGCATCCCGGCCATTGCTAACAGCTTCATAGCCAGGAAATTCTTTCTTATTGCAGAAATGATAATCAAAATATTTAACCACTGGTATGGCATGGGCACTAACTGGTCAGAATAGATACTGGCTATAAACAACTGGCTTGGCCACACAGGCAGTGCTGGTCTCATTTGTATTTCTTCCCTGGTTGTACCTCAAGCTAATTTTGGTGTTTCCTTTTTTTTTTTTTTTTCAATCCCTTAGGGAAGATTGTTAACTGCAGATTAAAGCTTTATTCCTGCCCTCATCCTCTCCTGGCTGAGTCATGTAATTTATTTTTCTCCCCCCTCCACCTTTTTAAATATTCTAAACAGTTATAAAGCATTTGCTAGGTGGCAAGCCCTGTACTCAGTGTTCTACAAATATTAACTCATTTAACTCTCATAACATCCCCATGAGGTTTTCTTGATAGAATCCACTTTACAATTTCAAAATCAGCTCAGTGGCTCTCTCGGAATCATGTTCTGCCCCTCTGCTAATTTGTTAAGGCCAACAGAAGATTCTGTTCTTAGAGCATCTGGGTGGCTCAGTTGGTTGAGTGTCTGCCTTTGGCTTGGGTCCTGATCCTGGGATCCAGTCCTGCATCGGGCTCCACATCAGGCTCTCTGCTCAGCAAGCAGCCTGCTTCTCCCGCTGCCCCTCCCCCTGCTTGTGCTCTGTCTGTCAAATAAATAAATAAAATCTTTTAAAAAAAAATCTTTTTTTTAAAAAGATTTTATTTATTAATTTGACAGACAGAGATCACAAGTAGGCAGAGAGGCAGGCAGCGAGAGGAGGAAGCAGGCTCCCTGTTGAGCAGAGAGCCTAATGTGGGGCTCAATCCCAGGACCCTGGGATCATGACCTGAGGTGAAGGCAGAGGCTTTAACCCACTGAGACACCCAGGCACCCCTAAATAAATAAAAAAAATCTTAAACCAAAAACAAAAGAAGGTTCAGGGATGCCTGGGTAGCTCAGTGGGTTAAGCCACTGCCTTTGGCTCAGGTCATGATCCCAGCATCCTGGGATCAAGTCCCACATCGGGCTCCTTGCTCAGCAGGGAGCCTGCTTCTCCCTCTGCCTCTGCTGCCACTCTGCCTGCCTGTGTGCTCCCCCGCCCCTGACAAATAAATAAATAAATAAAATCTTAAAAAAAAAAAAAAAAGAAGGTTCAGTTCTCATGTAAGACCTGACAGTGAAAATAACCTAGAAGATTTTAATGGATGAAGAAGCCAGATTCTGACTGTATTTGCCTTGCAGTCACAGTACTGTACCAATAGCTCAAACTGGAAATAAGTCTGTGTCTCACTGGGAGTACTAGGGGTCTCTGGGCACCTTTCACAGCTAACCAATCATGATGGCCTTCATCTTGTATCTGAACATTCTGAAACTCCGCCTCATGGTGTACAATGAAGGCTCTTGACTCCTGAGAGCTCTCAATTATCCTGATCTAACTGCTTCTCTGATGGACCGAAGTCATTTTCAATATTTTACTCAGGATCCAGAAAGAAAAAAGAGTAACTTAAAAGACTCAGTGGGGACAAGTCTTTGCTCTTTCTTTTTACCCCTCTAAATGATTCTACGCTAGGCCATTCTACCCTCATTTCTTCCCTACCCCAAGTTTCCTTTTCTCCATTTTCAGTTGCCAGTCTTCCTTTCCTTATAGTTTGTCTTATTTGGTGTACCTGTAACACTGAATTTGTTTCAGTGATGTTTCCTGAGAGACAGGCAGAGCCTCCTTGAGGCAAGAAGACTGATGGGGAGTGGTGGACGTGTATGTGATTGGCCAGGAGTGGGGACCCAAAGCTGCAATCCTGGGGGCAACAAGTGCAGGGGAGAGCCAAGAAAGGAGGTTTCTTTATGAGACTGTAGAGTTGTGACATAGTCACTTCAATCTGACCCAAAAGGATGGGAGAATAGCAATGAGCCAGGGTGAGAGCCTGAAGGTGTTTCAGGACACAGGGTCTTTCCTTGTTATTTCTCTTGATATTCACAAAGCCCATGTATACCATTTGCCAGATTATCTAAAACCCAGTGAAACCTGGGAGCAGACCAGGAGGGTGACAGGGCTGTGTGTGGGAAGTGAGAACTTTAGCTCAGAGCAAGTACAAAGAGGGAGGGTGTGTGTAGGGCTGGCAGAAGGAGGGGCCCTTACTGTGAATAGCAAGGCCGGGATTGGGGTGCAGCGCTTCACGTGGATCATGGCCAGCACGCTGGGAAGGTGGCCCTCCCTGGCTCCAGCAAAGAACAGCCTGGTAAAGAGAAAAACAGGTCAGCCTGGGGTGACCCACAGACTACCCAAGGAAATTCTCTCCCCAGCCCAGTCTTCCTCATTCATGCCCACCTTCTGCTCACACAGGAGCATCTCCCCCACCCAACCACGGACCCACCTTCCCATGCACACTCCAGCCCACTTGTCACAGGACCCACATTCACAAGTACAGGTGCAGGCAGACCAGAGGCAGCCAGTGGATAACATGGATTCTGGGTGCATGGAGACCCTAAGTATGGTCTGAGTGGCTTGGGGTTACTGATGATTGTGACTTCACTTTGTGGGTCTCACAACGTCTTAATCCCTTTAAAAATGGGCCTCCCCCATCCTCAAGGAATACAGGTTCTCTGAAACGTGGGGACTGAACTGTATGTCCATGGGAAGCCTTAAAAACACTGATATTCTAGTCAGGAGGTAGTTGCTACTGTGGGGATGGAGAATGGGTGGTGGACCAGAAAGGGACACGGAATAACTTGGGGGATATGTGGGAATGTTCTATATCTTGTTTTGAGTGGTGCTTACATCACTGTACACAACTGTCAAAATTCATTAATCTGGACAATCTGTGTATTTTATTGTATTGCATGTATTGTATTATATCATACCTAAAAATTTATAACCTTAAGCTACTTTTTCTATTCCCAAAGAAGCCATCCTAAGGAAATGAATAGTGAGTTAGTGAAAGATATATATAAAAGATATTCTGATGATAAAAAAGATAGGAAATATCCTAAATGCCCCCAAAGTAAAAGACTGATAACATAAATTATAGCATATCTATAAGATGGGATATTTTACAGTCTTAATGTTTTGAAAAAAATTCATTACATGAGAACATGCTCAAATACAATGTTAAATGGTAAGAGCAAGACAGAACACTATATGATTCCATACAGTATGATTCTAATTAATTTAGAAATTATGGTCATGTAAAAACATACCAACTGATTATCTCAGAGGATGGAATTATGAGTAATTTTAATTTTCTTCCGTAGACTTTATTTAAAAAGTTAATTTCTAAAATAGATGAGAAATTTTTAATTGGAATAAAAATGATTTTTTAATCCTTTTTAAAAATTAGATCCTTTTTTTTGAGATAATTGTAGACTCACATGTAACTGGAAGAAATAATACGGAGAGATCCTAGGTATCCAATCTACTTCTACTGGTAACATACTGCCAAACTACAGTATAATATCATGACTAAAAATATGTATTTTTAAAAAGAGAAATTTTAACATAAAAGGGACTTCTTCTTCCCCTTTCCTTTTCTCAGAGAAAAGAACATTATAAGCCATTGGAAGTTTACATATTAGTATGAATTAAGCACCTAAGGGGTAGGAGGAAGGAGTTGGTGTAAAGGGCACAGGAAGGCACAGAATCAGCACGCTGGGTGTTCTGAAAAAAAAACAAAAACCTGTCACTTACTTTGGAATTTGTGTGTGAGGGGGAGAGGAACTAACAGCAGCAGTTTGGCAGAAGTGTGGGAGTCCATTATGGCCCCAAGTACCCATGTGCATCACCATCAGTTGCCATAATCAACTACCTAGGCTACTGTCACTGGTTTCATGCAGCCACGCAGCATTGCCCCTCTACGGTGCAGCCTCATGCACCTAAATGAGCTCCGGGTGCTCAGGGAGCCTCATCATGCACGTAGCCAGGGCCCCACATTCATGTCCCTCTTCCACATGCAGCTAGGACCAGTGTAACTGTCCAGGTCCAACAGCATTTGCAAGTGTCAAGTTCACAAGAGACAATCCTTGCCCAGCTAGCTGACAACAGAGGAGACAATGACATTAAGCATGACACACACCCACACACACTCTTATTTCTCAGGAAGGGTCAACCTCTCCATATACCAAACACAAAAGAGTAAGAGAAAGAAGGAGAGAGGGAGGGAAGGAGAAGGAAGGAACGAAGGAACTGGAAAGATGAGCAGAGGAGGCCTGGTGGGTGAGCTGTGCCTCTGAATCAGAGGCCTCGCACGCCAGGGCCGCCGTGTCCTACATGCACACACAGCTGTACCACATGCACGCAGACCATCGCTTGGCCTGCCCGAGGGACAAACCCCACTCTAAAGTGACTGTAGCCAGTCACTCTCTTCCAATAGATCCCAGAGAGCCTCATGGGTCATTGCTCTTCCACTGCTCGCCCTCAGTTGGGGACTCCAGGTGGCCACAGCTCCTGTGTAACACGCACACGAGGTTGCTGTGGGTGAGTCTCAGTCTCATAGGTTCCCGGGCCACAGAGGACACCCACACTCCCTCTTTCCTGCCCTGGGTCCTGAAAACATGGCACTCCCTTGACATTTCATGAGAACTCCTCCCTGAGGTAATGGGTGGCTTTGGAAGCAGCTGAACTCAGGGACTCCCTGTTCTTGCTGTATCTTTCAAATAGGACTATGGCCTGGGGGTAGGGGAACTTTCTAAGAAATTGGGGAAGACCCCTTGAACAACACTGATAGGAAACAGTCCAGTGTCTGCTAGCCTCAATGATCCATTCTGGAGATAGACCCTGGAGAAGAGACCCTGAGGAGGGGCAGATTTCTGGGGATGTAGAGGCAAATGTTAGGGATTTCTGGACTGACTTGAGCTTCTGGCTTCCCTGAGAGTTTGGGAGTTGGGGGCCTGGCTTTGGACAAATGCTTTCCTTCAGCTTTTCCCCACTTCTCTCACTTTACACGCTCTGCCTAAGTCTCCCGAGCGGCCATGACAAGGCCGCCCACAGCCACTTGTCTGTTGAGCAGGGAGAAGGATCCATCCCACCTGCAGGCTGGTCCCAGAACTTCCATAAGAGGCCAGCCCAGAGCCCCCACCCCCACCCCACAAGCCTGTGTCCCTCCTGGTCCCTGATAGAGTGGGGTTCCTTTCAAGCCAGCATAGCCTGTTTCCAGGCAAGTAGCAAAGGGGCTCTGCGGTTGCTGCTGAGATACTGTACTGCAGCTAGTCATGGTGCCCAGACCTAGGACTGCATCAGGCAGCCTGGGACCTCCTCAGCCCTCTGCTCCTGCTGAAATGAGGTGGGACAGGGCTTCTCGCCACTACATGTGAAGCCACACACATCGCAGGTAACCACATGAGCAGCACACACTCCTTTGCGTCCAAGCTGACATACAAATGCCCTTTCGTGAGCAATCACCCCCTATGAGGTCACCACCCAGGTGCCCACACAGACCCCTGCTGACGGAGACAAGCCCCCCACATATACACAGAGCAATATGCGCAGCAGAATGGCCCCTGGCCCAGGAAGGACTGGGACGACACTTACCGGGAAGAGGTGAAGAGAGACCCATTGACTCCTCCAAATGTGGACAGGGCAACAGAAATGGGCATGATCCAGGCCATGACCCCTAGGAGTTTCTCTCCGAATGTCTGGGAGAGAAAACAAGGGAATGAGCAGAAGAGGCAAGGTTACAACCCACCACTTGTACATCACTGCTGGGAATGCTCCCTCCCATCTCTACGCTTGCTGAGTCTCTACTACCAGGGTCCTCGCAGGGAGAGTTGTTTCCCCAGCCCCTCCTGCACCGCACCGCCACTTCCCTTCCCATGGTGATCACACACAGTGCAGATTTAACAAGTGTTTTGGGCTATTAACTGAAGGAGACAGTGCATGGAGGTGTTAATAATAATAATAACAACAACAATGATGATGATGTGCTAACATTTGTTCTCCTTGTTTTATGGATGAGAAAACTAAGGCACAAAGCAATTAGGTAGTCTGCCTAAGATCACAAACCCAGAAAGTGGAGGGCCAGGATCAGAAGCCAGCTGTGGGAGTCCAGGCCTTAGTTACATTACACACTCATGAGTCAGGCAGGTTGGGGTTCAAATCTTAGCCCAACAGTTTGGAGCTGTGAGACCGTGAGCAAGATCCTTAATTTTTGAGCCTCAGTTTTCCCATCTGTAAAATAGAAATGGTTCCTAATTCATAGGGTGAGAATTTCTAAATTCACAGAATTAGTGTAAGAGGGAGAAAATCATAAGAACAAGCCACTATGTAGGCTGAGAAAGAAAAGGTGGTAAAGCTACAGACTAGTCTCCCTATACTGAAGGAATGTAAAATGTCAAGGGACTAGGCTTTTCTATATTCTCTGAGCCAAGTACACACTCAATTTCTCACACATTATGGGGGAGGTGTTGTTTAGAATAGATGTGCTGCTGGGTTAGGCCAGTAGTCATGCCCCAGGACACTGAAGGGCCTCTTTCTTTAGTCTTCTGAGAGGAAAAATGTGATGACAGTTTGGTAGGGTGGCGTCAGGGCTCAGGTGAAGCCAGGTCAGGTGGCTGCATGGCTCCCAGGTTTCTCCTGAGTATCAAAGACCCCAGTGCTTTGGATCTGCATGATCTCTTTCCCCAAAGAGCACAGACCATTCCTACTACCTGTTTATTGGCACACACTTTTCCCTGATGAGGGAAGGAGTCAGGCTGCATGATTTCCAGAGGAAGAAACAAAGGCAGAGAGGAATGGCATTGTCTTGTGCAAGATTATATCTTTCTAGGAGGAGACTGCCTCCATTACACAATCATCACATTTAGAGTTTAAAGTGCCCCAGATCAGGAACTAGCAAATATTTTTTGTAAAGGGTCATATAGTAAGGAAGGTAGCTTTGTGGGCCATATAGTGTGTGGCAATAATCTGGTTCTGCTGTTGTCACTGTTCTAGGTACAACATGGCCGTCAGTTTCCTCCTGGGCACTTGAAGATATGGTTTCTGCCCTGAGAACTTGGGATGGCTTCCAATTCCACAAATTCATGGATCAGGGAAAAGTGAGTAGGGTCAATCAGGCAAGTCTATGTCAACATTCCTGGTTTGAGGAACTGTGAGTTTGATTTCTTACCACAGCGACTGCGTTTGATGCCAGCAGCTCCTGGGGGGACATTGCAGTGACATAAGCGACATTGGCAAAGACATACACAAATGTGACCAGTGGGATGGAGATGAAGATGGCTCTGGGAAGGTTCCTGTAGAAGGAGAGGAGGTGAGAGGGGAAAGGCCTGGCACCTGCCTCATCACGGGGTTTGGGAGGTGCCTTGTCTTTCTGCTCCAAACTGACCTGGCAACCTTGTGTGACACTCCCTCTCCCTGGGGGGATGTATTCTGTCTCAAAATGGGCAGGGCAATTTAGAGAAAACGAAACAGTGTAGGCTGGGAATATGCTTCATACCGGTTGACCTCTTTCTGACTGGAATCTCCATGATGCACCCTTCTCCCCTGCCTCAAGACACAAAGACCCTCCTGTCCTAAGGCAGGTAAGTAAGATGCCCAGAGGCCTCTTGGCACATTTCATCCTCTAAGGCAATGGTGCTATCTCAGCACTGTTTCAGCTTTTAATCTGCTCTGGGACAGTCATGGGATCATTTTTCTCCTCCTGGCAGGGCAGATGGCAAATGGTTTAAGTTCCTTAGAAATAATTGTTTCTTCAGGATAGACCAGATCACAGTCAGAACAGGGGCAGAGGTGGAGAAGTGGCCAGTGGACACCTGACTCTCTCTTCCTAGTAGCAGGTGCTGTGGCCTTTCAAGGGATTTGGGAAGAGCTGGGCTATTTTAACTCACTTGTAGGGATCAACAAGTTCCTCAGTCACGTAATTAAGAAAGTTCCAGCCTCCGTAAGCAAAGGAGCCCTGAAGGAAAGCCAGTGCGATGAGGCCGATGTTGGGTTCTTGGAAATTCTCAAATGCGTTCTTTGGTTCCAGCCAGAAATACTCTCCTGTGGATGCAAGGGGCAGGGGGCTGCTCAGAGAAAGGAGCTAGAGGCCTGGAGGCCTCTAGCCTGCCTAGTCCTGTCTCAGCAACTCCTGCAGTGAAGATCCAGCTCTTGTCTTGTTTCCAGTGAACTCCACACATTGGAGAAGCGGGACCAAAAGGAGAATGGAAATAAGATTAGGACTTTCACAGAACCTAGGAACCAGGAGTCCAAATGCAGGCTCAGGTTCAAAGCACAGATCTCAATGTTCTTTTCAAAGGCAAATTTGCTTGGAAGGAAAGGCCAGGTTAGGGCAGAGTAGAGTAAATCAGGGGTGGAGGGCAGGGCGTGGGGGTGGGAGGGAGCTGGGATTTGGAGATGCAGGATTAGGGCCATTGGCAGTCTCCTGACCAACTTCCTATAGATCTAAGTTTATACATCTTCACAAAGAAAGCATTAAGAACAACAAACCCTCAAACGGAAGCTCCTCTAACACCATAGAAGTTTATGCGCATTCTGCTTTCTTTGTCAATAACCTCTTGTCTCTTTCTAAGGCATCACTCTCTCTCTCTTCATGGTATAGATTTCCTGAGGACAGGGTCCTTCAGCAAAGAGCTTTCCACTGCCTTCCCAACCTTCAGCACAGTGTCCTACACGTACGTGGGCCCTCAAGAAAGGTTGCTGATGATGTTGTAACGAAACACAGAGTAACTGCCCATATTTTACTTATTCAACTGCAATCCATTGTTTGGACAGGAAATAAGGAAATTAGAATGATCAGGAGAAAGCATCAGGGCCAGAATAGAAGAGACTTTTATCTCTGAAAAGATAGCACAGTGGGTTCTTTCTTTCTTTTGTTTTTTAGGGGGAAAGCATGAACACAGTCCTCACTACCACATATTATGTAGTCCCATTTCTCATGTTTGGGGAAACTGCAGGGGTCAGCATATCCATAGTGCAATGGATAAACCTTGCCCTTGGAATACCCCCTTCATGATCATGGTATCTCCCCTACCAGATAGAGGATTTCTTTAAGTGATTTCTTTAAGTCTACACAATATTACCTGCTAAAGAACTTAACACAACTGGTTAAAGTAACAGCAGAACCTTAATTATGTTCCCTAGAGTAAATATCCAGGCACCCCACATGGCCTTCAGGGCTTGTAGGCGGGTGGGAGGTCTCTCTGTTTGTCATCTGACTTTCTCCAGGAGGCAGGGACACTGGGCAGAGCCTAGTGGTGCCATGGTTCCTGTGGAAACCAAATACAGACTTGGACTTGGAAGGGACCAAATCCAGTGGGGAATGTTGGCAGGGGCCCCAGGAATGCCAAGCTCTCTCTTATAGAGATTATGAGTAATTTTGAAATGTATAAAAATCTCCTCTGTTCTCCATTTTAAGATATGGGCAACATACAATGTAAGATGCAGGGAGCTTCTCTGGAGATGGGACAAGAGGGCAACAGGAGTCCAGAGGTCTGGGGGCTTCACCTAGCTGGGCCAGAGCCAGGAGGTCAGCATGGGAGACCTGAACTCTGCAAACCAGGTGGGGCAGGCTCAACTTCCAACCATCCCAGGAAAATGGTTTCTCTTCCCCTTTGTGAAGCAAGTGAAGAAGAAAAGTCATTCAAGGTCAGAATTGGAAAATCTCAGGGTTCACGTGTCTAAAGACAATGTGAGGGGGTGTGCACATGAAAAAGGCAGAAAGTTGGGTGGGGTCCTGTTTTTTGGGTGCTACTCACCTTTGCAGATCTGGACAACTCCCATGATGATGATCAGGGCCAGGGCCAGGAGTTTCCCAGCTGTGAAAATGTCTTGAACCCGGGTGGCCCACCGAACACTGGCACAGTTGACCCACGTGAGGAGCACTGAAATGACAGACCCCCAAACATACCCTCAGGGCTATAATGAGGCTGTAGGAGGCCCTCTGGACAGAAGTAGAAATGTTCCCTGCTTCTGATGATGGGACTATAGGAGGCGAGCCAAATTTCCCTCAGGCCCAGCCCCAGTCTCTGGAAACTTTGGCTAGGTTAATGGGTTACAAATGGAGATTACATGCCACAAATTAGAGCTTGGTCAGAGCGTGCCCTGCCTAGGGCTGGAAGCCAGAAGTAGGCATGGAAGTGAAGGCACAGGCTTTGAGGAAAATCAGCATCTCACCAGAGTGCAAGTATGGGCTTTGTTTCCAGGCCATTGTGTGTTCAAGGGGAGCCCTGAGCAGCTGGTGGGTCCTGAATGTCATCTTCCTCAGCCTGATTTTGGGGCAACAGAGGGTTAGGGGGAATCTTTTTTTTTTTTTTTTTAACCTGTGGTATAATTTACATAGAATAAAATTCATTTTTCTAAGTGTACAATTTGAGGAGATCTGACAAATGTATTCAGTTAGTTAATCACTTCCACACTCTTTATATGGAACATTTCCAACACTCCCAAAAGTTTTCTTTCTGGCATGTTGAGCTCCTTTGAAGTCAGTTCCCTTCCCCTACCTCTGGCAACCCTAATTTGGTTTCTGTCCCTATAGTTTTGCCTTTTCCAAAATGTCACATGAACAGAATCGTACAACATGTAGCCTTTTGTTTGGCTTCTTTCACTTTACACGATGCTCTTGAGATCCACTCACGTTGCTGTGTATATCAATAGTCTGGTCCTTATATTGTCATGTAGTACTCCATTTTTTTTTAAAGATTTTATTTATTTGACAGAAACACAGCAAGAGAAGAAACACAAGCAGAGGGAATGGGGGAGAAGGAGAAGCAGGCTTCCCGCCGAGCAGGGAGCCCGATGTGGGGATCGAATCCAGGACCCTGGGATCATGACCTGAGCTGAAGGCAGCCGCTTAACGACTAAGCCACTCAGGTGCCCCAACGTAGTACTCCATTTTATGTATTGGTTTTCTACTTACTGGCTGATGGACATCTGGGCTGCTCCCAGTTTGGGGCTATTATGAATAAAGCTGCTATAAACAGTTGCATAGAAGTATTTAAATGGATTGTAGACATCTTTGAGAAGCGTTTTCCTTTCTCTTGAGTTAATATCCAGGAGTGAGATTCTGAGTCATAAGGTAAATGAGTAACTTTTTTTTTTTTTTTTAATTTTGTTATTTTTAAAAGTAATCTCTAGGGACGCCTGTGTGGCTCAGTGAGTTGAGCATTTGCCTTTTGTTCAAGTCATGATCCCAGGCTCCTGCAATCAAGTCCCACACTGAGCTCCTTGCTTGGCGGGGAGCCTGCTTCTCCCTCTGTCTGCTGCTCCCCTTGCTTGTTCTCTCTCTCTTTCTCTCTCTCTGACAAATAAATAAGTAAAATCTTAAAAAAAAAAGTAATCTCTACAGGCTTGAACTCATAGGCCCAAGATGAAAAGTCACATGCTCTACTGACTGAGCCAGCCAGGCGTCCCTAAATGTATGTTTAACTTTGTAAGAAACAGTCAAACTACTTTCCAAAGGGGTTATATCGGGGCGCCTGGGTGGCTCAGTCAGTTAAGTGTCTACCTTCGGCTCAGGTCATGATCCTGGGGTCCTGGGATCAAGCTCCACATTGGGCTCCCTGCTCAGTGGGGAGCCTGCTTCTCCCTCTCCCTCTGCTGCTCTCCCCAGCTTGTGCTCTCTCACTCTCTCAAATAAATAAATAAATAATCTTAAAAACAACAACAACAACAAAACCCCACAAAGTGGTTGTATTGTTAGCATCTCCACCAGCAATGTAGGCGAGGTCCTGTTGCTCTGAATCCTTTCAGCATTTGGAATCTTCAGCTCCAAAAGCTTGGCTCTTCTGATAGGTGGGTAGGGGCATCTCACTGTGATTTCAATTTGCATTTCCCTCATGACTGGTGAGGTTGAGCATGTTTTCATGTGCTTATTTGCCACTAGCCCTCTGTCTTCTTTGGTAGCATAGGGGCTTTTAACTCTGCCTCCTATCCTAGGAGTCACAGGGCTCTCACAGAGATCCCAACAACATGGAAACTCCAAGGGATGGAGGAGAGTTCAAAGGCTGAATCCTAGGAGGGAGGGACTCTGTTTTACAGCCACACTCTCCCAGAAACCCAGGGAGCCTGTGCCGCAGGAATGGGACACTCATCTTCCTGGTGCTTAGGAAGTCCTCGAGAACAAAGGGAAGAAATAAAATCCTCTTGTTTCCCCTTCCCCTGAAACAGTGACCAGGACACCCCCCTACCCGCCCAGTCCTCCAAAGGTACAAGTCACACATGTAGAAGCACCAGCCTTTCTTCTCAAGCGCTGCCCCGGCTTCTGACTTCACCTGAACAGTTGCTCAGATTATATCAATACTGATCTTTAAACTGTGTTTTTACTTTTCAAGTATATTCTGACCTTACTTGATTCTGAGACCATGTCAACAGGGTGAAGACCTGACATTATTATCTGTAACCTTTCTTCCCACACCGTCTCTACCTGGCAAACTCCTTCTCATCTTTCAAGATCCAGCTCAAATGTCACCTGTTCTGTGTCTTTATTATTTTATGTATTCCTGACAATGTGGCTGCAAGGTAAGATACACCAGCTGCATTTTGCAAACAAAACAAACAAAGTTTGTCCCTCCTCTTTTTTCTCAGACCACGTTGTTTATATTTAATTTTGGCATCTACTTCTTTGTATTATAAAGATCTGTTTCTTTTTCTCTGTCTCCATGTAGACCAGGAGAGCAGGAACTATGACTTTTCATGTTTTCAATCCCTGGGCATCATTAATGTCTGCAAATAGCATGTGCTCAACAAATATTTAATACTTGGATACAGAAAATGCCTCAATTCATTAGCCCTGCAATCTCATCTCAGTCTACACATTTTACAATGCACACAATCTCCCCTGCTCCCCAGGAATCTCATCAAAAGGAGACACGATCCCCAGCTGGTTGCACAGAGTCAAAAGAGCGACAGGAAACTTGAATTCAAGAGTAGAAACTCTTGACTCCTCACAGAGAAGTTGTTATCCAAGATGGTGTCATATAAGGAGAACAAAAACATGTTGTCAGAGGAAGGATTTTAAACGCCTGAACAGGGAGAACATCTTGTAAATACTCGAATGTTCCAGATGGGCCGAGACATCCTGATAAATACACATTTGGTTTATCTTACTCAATTCAAAAAGGATTTCAGGATCACATGCCTGGTGACAATCCAACCCAAATCATTCTAAGCAACAGGGCCTGAGATCTGTTTCTCCTCAGGGCCTTGAGGACTGCTAGGTACAAGGCTGGGCCCTCAGGTCCCAGGAGTTCAGGAAGACACAAGCAATGACTTAAGGATAAAGGAGATTGATTTATGAAAAGAAGATTAGGACATAAAACCCATGAGGCTCAGGGATAGGTAAGGATTACAGAATAAGGAACCAGATTGTGATTCCAGAGAAGAAAATTATCCTCTATCAAGGGGAGGACAGGGAACAGTGGGGAAGGGAGAGCAAAGTACTTGGAGGGAAACAAGGGATGAGCAGGACAAGTCACAGACATTCTTCCCCCAGTGGGTGGGGGGAATGTGGCCACCTCCTGGTGGGCTGGGACAGAAAACACAAAATCATGTATCTCCTTAGGAGAGGGACTTTGTCAAGGCAGTCAGAAAGATTCCTTCAGTCAACTCCAGAATATTCCTGGGGGATGGGAGATGTTTGAAGGAAGGGATAATTTGTCAAATAAACTCACTGTGGGTATCTTCTGTCCCACCTGACCTTATCTTCACAATTTCACAAGAACCCAGTCTTTGACTAATATTTAACCTTTTACCTTTACAGAGATCTTTCAGACATAAAAAGAGAAATCCCGAGAATGGGGTGGGGACACATTTTGCCTGTGACACTAATCTCCTTAGAACAATGATTGCAGGCCCTCACATCTGACCCTTATCCCTGCTGTTGGATGATCACAGCATGTGACTGAGGGGAAAGAGGGCACTTTCAGTCTCCTGCTACCACAGGACAGCTTCCCTCACAGCAGGCTGAAACCTGAGCCTCCAAACAGAGAAAGAAAGGTCAGTGAGTGAAGGCAATACTGTCAGGTGCTTGCCAAGCCCCTGCCCTGTTCAGGCATCCTACCTCTGCCTGTCTGCTACCCAGAGCCCCTTTGTATTGTTAGTGGCTATGGCTCCTCTCTCTTCTCAGCCAGAGGGTGCATTCTGAATGCTTGAGAAACAGTGACCTCAGGGAAGCCACACGTAGGTGGGGACCAGTAGCCTCTGCAGCTTGAAATGTAAGGGTTTTCCTTCATCCATCCATCCGTCTGTCTACCTGTCCAACCACCATCTACAAATGGCCTACTGTGCTGGGTGCTCTGGTAGGTGGGGGAGTTACAAGACACAAGTCCTTGTCCTCAGGAAGTTGAGAGCATAAGGTGGGGGAGATGGGTGAGCTAAAAGATGATCATACAACAGTGTGCTGACAGCAAGGGTCTTCACGGAAGCAAGTGGGCATCCATGAGGAGTCCCAAACTCTGCCCAGGGGACTCAGACCTGTGTCCTATAGGAGGGGGAGACCCTAACCAAAAGGCGAATTTTATAATTTTGACCCAGCTGGATAACAGAAATAAGGCATAAGACTCTGGTTCTTGTCCATTGTAATATGGCTGTGTGGAGGTTCCTGTTACTCTAGAAACCCCCATGGAATCTCGGGCTTATCTTTATTTCTTGGGCATTTTCTCCCCTCTCTCTTTGGTATCCTTTCTGTTTGCTGGGTTTAAAAAAAAAAAAAAAAGGTGGAAAGACTATCAAGACGATACTTCAAAAAAATGCTGAAGTCAGGGGTTGGTTACTTAATCTGCCAAGCTGGAAAAGGTGACAAGGTGACACCTTAATGTCAAGGTGACAGGAGGGATACAAAAAACAGGCAGGCAGGACTAGGGCACTCAGAACCCAGCAACCTTGT